AGACCATACCAAAACAAAACCATAACAGACATCACATGTGGTTTATCCACTCTGTTCCTCTAGGCACTCTGGCCTAGTGCAGAAAAGATGGCTGTCTGGGTTACTCTGAGCGCTACAGCAGGCACGGCATTGAATGTCTGTATTTGCATGGGACTGGTGTCTGGCTTTCCAGCACTGGCTTCCTCCAGACACCAAGAGCACCAGACTCCAGTCTGTTGAGTTGTCTTTGGACTCCACAGGAGTTGGCCCCCCTAGCACGGCCCTTGTGGAAACTTAGGCTATCTTAGTATACAAGATGACTCTCAGAAATACACCATGGGCTCAGGGGGATGCTTCTTCATAAAACACCGTTATTTTTCAAGTGAAGGGGCAGTAGGTTCACCCGGTGTTCTTAAGGATGAGATCACATGACTGAGAGGGTCATCTTCACCCTGGGGTCTCAGTTCAGCAGAACTACTGAGGAATTTCTTCCACGGCATCTTTGGCTGTGTGTACCCTGTGCTCGCCATAAGTGGGAAGCAGTTACGCTGTCCTCCTGGCGTTTGCTTCCTCTCTGTTATTAATTTCATAAACGTATTGGGATCTTTTCATACCAGAAAATAAAAGCTGAGCCCCCCTTTTTTAATAGCAACATCATAATCCTTGGGATGAATGAAATATTTGAATGAATTATTCCCTGGCGAGTGTCTGTTGAAATCGTACCACCTTCCCTGTACTTAGACACAGCCTTCTCCACAAGTGAGTGCAATTGAGAGGACGCACCATTGTAGGATTGCTGAGAGACCTGGTATGGACTCTTAATAAGGACAAGACACCCTCTTTTAAACCAGTACCAGCTCCCTCAATAGCCACTCCATAAGGCTGTTGTGAGGACGACATGGACTCATGAGCTTCATCTGCCCACTGTGTCCCAGACCAGTGCCTGGAACAGGGCCCAGTGCATGACAGAAAGATGGTAAGAATCCCTAGAGTGAATAATTAATAAAGTGTGGCATCATTCTATATCCAGAAAATTAGTTCCTTCGGCTGTCCATATATGTTGAACATATTTATCTACTATGTCTTGTTTCTTTGATTTTGTTTCTTTAATGTGTCTTAATAATATTATTATTAATAATTATTAATAATATTATTACTTAGTGGCTAATAGCACTGCTTGTTCTTCCATGTAGGAGGAAGTCTGATGCCGCCATTAAACATGTGACTTACTAAGTCTATGCCGCCATTAAACATGTGACTTACTAGAGGCGCATACAGATGAGGTAATAAAAGGGCGGTTTACCACACCGCTAACCACACCCACTTTAGGCAGGACTAAAGACGTATACGGCTGGACGTAAAGACGTATATGTACGTAGGCGGAACTACGTCACTAGCCAAGCCCACTTTTGGGCATGGCTAGGGGCGTTACGGGGGAAGGCATAAAAGACAGCGCACAGGAAGTCTCACTCTCTTTTCCTGGAGTTCGGCTTCCGGTCCAGTCGCTAGCTGAGATCTGCTGGGCTTCTCGGGGTTTGGTATCTTGTGAGTAATTTTCTACATTAAATACTTAGCTTCACTTTCCGTAATTGTGTGTCGCGTATCGTTACAGCGTCCGTAAAGCCAACATTCCAGAGTCCTGGGTTCAATTCCCGGCACCCAAATGGAGGCTCACAACCGTGTGTTAACTCAAGCTTTGGGGCATCCGATGCCATTTTATGGCCTTGAAGGACATTAAACACGCATCGTGCAGACACGCATGCATGTAAGACACCCACACACATAAAATAATTTTTAAATTAAGTTTAAAAAGTATTATTGCCTAATTTAGTTAAAATAGATTTTGCAGATATCCTTGGAGGCCTGTTCTTTTTTGTTGTTGTTATTGTTTTAAAGGAAAACAGAGGAGGAGTTGATCTGAGGGAGAGGAGAAGTGAGAGGAAGGGCCAGAGGAGTGGTGGGAGGGGAAACTGAAGTAGGGATATAGTGTATTTTTTCTATGAAATAAAATAGATCTTGCTGTGACTCCAACAGGATATTTTTATGTCTCAGTTTTCTTTTCTTCTTTCCCCTTCTCCGTTTCCCTCTTTCTCCTCTGTGTATTGAACCGAGGGCCTTAGGCATGCTCATCAAACATTGTACCACTGACCTATTTAATTTTTATTTTTATTTTGAGGCAGGGTTTCACTAACCTTGACTTTGTTACAGGCTCCAGGCAGGCAGAACTTAGGGCTAATCCTCCTGCCTCATCCTCTCTAATAGCTGAGATTACAGGCCTTTGCCACTGAGGTTGGCTTGATGTGGTTTTTAAGGGCATTTAGGGTATCCTTTCCATGCTGGTTGGTCTGAGAATTTGTACAACAAGCATTCCGAGCTTTTAACTCAAGACTCTGTTTCATATTCTATAAGAAGTGGGCTCTCATACTTTGATTCACACAATACTCACGAGCTATTTATGAAGTAGGACTTTCTATGATGGGATGACGGGATGCATATGGCCATTCTGGAGCCCTGAGTGTAGACAGGTTAGGAAAGCCATTCCAGAATCCCAGATATAGAGAGCTGTTATGGGATGTGATGTGTCTGCCCTTCCTCACCTGCCTAAGGAACCTTCTGAATGGTTTAATAAAGAGCCGAATGGCCAATAGCTATGCAAGAGAGGATAAGAGGGACTTCTGGGGAGAGAGGGGGGCTCAGGGAAAAGAATCTGAGGGGTGGGATTTGCCAGCCAGGTGTGGAGGAAATCAGACACACTGTGCTGAGGAGAGGTGATGAGCCATGTGGTGGAGCATAGATTAATATAAATGGGTTAATTTAAGAGTTAGTTGGGAGCCGGGCGGTGGTGGCGCACGCCTTTAATCCCAGCACTCGGGAGGCAGAGGCAGGCGGATCACTGTGAGTTCGAGACCAGCCTGGTCTACCAAGCGAGTTCCAGGACAGCCTCCAAAGCCACAGGGAAACCCTGTCTCGAAAAACCAAAAAAAAAAAAAAAAAAAAAAAAAAAAAAGAGTTAGTTGGGAACAAGCATAAGCTAAGGCCAAACTTCCATATTTAATAAGAAGTCTCCGTGTCAATATTGGGGAGCTGGGGGTAGAGAGAAAGACCTGCTGTAGAGAGCTAAGGTGACTGTTCCAGAACCCTGGGTATAGAGACATAGGGCGGAGTCAAATGTTTAGAGAGAAAAGTAAGGAATTCAAGGCATGAACTTCGCTTTTGTTCCACATGAGTTCTGAGGCTGGGTTAAGGAGACTGTCTAACCAGGATATCTTGCTTTGAGGACAGGCACACTTTTATTTAAGTTGTTCCTTCTGCAGTACAGCTTTGTAAACCCTGAGCTTCCTTGTCCCCCAAGGATAAACCGAGAGGCTGGGCTTGTAAGCATGCTAGGAGTCCTAGAAGCCTACAGTTAGCGTCTCTTTTGTTCCTCTTCAACTCTGTCTTCCTGAATATTTCTTTGGTGGGAACATGGTCTCAGTAGAGCCCAGGATGGCTTGAGTCTCACCGTGTAGTCCGAGATGAACCCGAACTGGGGATGGTTTCCATGTCTCGGTGACACAGGCATGGAACACAGCTCAGAGAGCACTTGCTGATGTCAAGTCCTCTGTCTCAGAAGGCAGAACTCAATCAGCACCATTCAGATAGATGTGGGGACAGAGACAGTTTGCTAAGAAAGAGAATACCCCGAGCATGGAAGTGGACTAGACAGCTGGACATGTCAGAGGCTCCCGTGGTGTTCTGCAGGAGGAGTGGTAAGATGTACAGGCCACTTACACAGTACCTGCCTTTTCCTACACACGGGAAGCAGGTGGTTTGAGTACTCTCTGCCTCTTTCATGAGCCCTGCATGGGAGAGGTCTCCAGAGTTTTTTGACAAATGGCTTTTTTCATCTGTTAATCGTGATGCCTCCCTCTCCAGGTCCCAGTCCCCTGACGGCACTGTCTCTCAAGCAGTAGGATTACAGATGTGCATGTTCCTAGCCTCATTTTCCCTCAACATTCTCTCCTTAGCTGGTCTAAAACCTTCTAAATTTTCTCCGTGTTAGGAAAACAGGCACTTTATCTTCTCTCTGTTGGGATTTCCCAGCAGGAATGGGGGTTGGGGAGCACCTTAGAGCCTGCATAGAATTTCACCACCAACAACAATGTTTCAGCCATAAGATCTGTCAAGATGAGGACCATGACTTCCCCCAGCTTCTCACACTCACATGTGCACACTTCTGTCCTTGCTTCTTGTGTTAGTTACTTTCCTGTTTCTGTGATAAAAAAAATAATAAGGCAACTTGAGGAAGAAAGTTTATTTTGGCTTACGTTTCCAGAGGAACTTGAGTCCATGATGAGAGAAGATCAGCAGGCGCTTTGTGTCAGGAACGTGAAGCTGAGGGCTCGCACCTCAAACGGCGAGCGTGAAGCTGAGAAGGCAACTGGAAATGGCTCCAGGCTTCAAACTCTGAAAGCTCACCTCTGGGGAAGACACCACCCAACAAGACGGCATCACGCAGTCAGTCTTCAAATTCTAAAAGCTCACGTCTAGGGAAGACACTGCCCAGCAAGACGACATCATGCAAATCTCCCCAAACAGTGCCAAAGGACCAGGTGTTCAAATGCAATCTGTGAGAAACATTTCCATTCAAACCACCACAGTTCTCTACTACAAAGCGACTTAACAGTCAACACCGAAGACAAGTATATAAAATCACCGATGCTCTCTGGTGCACAGATGGGTTCTGACACTTCATTGCCATCCCACAGATTAGACAAACGGGTACCAGATTAGACCTGAGTACAGCAGGCTCCTGATTGGTTGAAGGTCTGAGCATCAAATTCAGTCTTGTTTTTCTACTGGTTACTTGGCTACACCCAAATCTACTGATATTTTAACTACTGTCTGTGGTCCCACAGCTCCATACTCAGTGCCCTGCTACTCAGACTTGACCTGGCAGGATTTCTGGTTCCAAAGGCACTGGCTCTGCCCTTGCCGTCAAATGCAGTTTTTAACTAACTCTCTACCATTCTATTTTCCAGCAAAGACTCATGAGTCGGATGTTGGGGTGAAAACCTGCTAGCTCAGAGAGGCCAAGAAGCAACCAGCTGACCTTCATTTCTGGCTGGAGACGAAGTAAGAGCACATCTCCCCGGCTGTCTGAAACCTAAAGGACCACGGAGCTCCAAGTCCCTGTCTACACCCTTCCCGTGTCTCTCCATCCATCTTCCTGGCTTCTCTGTGGCTAATTCCTGTCTACTGGTTGCTGGCTCCACCCCCAGGACCCAGGTTGATTTTATTAACACGGTCTCAGATTTCACAGTGCAATCAAATGTTCCAGAACACAGCTTAGCAGACAAAAGGTGACAGAGAGGGGCCATCTAAGTCTACCTGGAATTGTAACATCCCAGGATGTGGGCAGAGGCAGGTGTAGCATCATCTATCACCTGATCACTCACAGGTGACTCCATCTTGGATGCTTGGCTAATACACACATTGGTACCCAGGTTGGGAATGTCAATACACTCCAACAGCAGGATGCAGATGCTGCTGTCCAGCAGAGATGTTCTCTAGAAGCCAGGTGGGTGGTACCTTCGCTTCCCAGCATTATCACAGAGAAGATCAATGCATAAAGAGAAAGGCTGGCCCTGACTCAAGGCCTCAGGGTCCCGATTCTAATCTATGAGTAGACTGCCCTCCTGTTGAGACTTCTGGCAGAGATTCTACGCACCAACAGCAAGGAACACACGGAAGGCCAACTGTGCTCACCTTATGGCTATGCAGCTAAGGAGGAGGAGTTGGGCTGCCACAGTTCTTTGGAAAAGGTCAACCCAGCAACCTGATGACTTCTCATAAGGCCTCTTTTCCTGATGAACTCCCCAGTGCCTGCAAACAGCACCCTACCCCGTAAACCAATCCTGCAATCATGAGCCACTAAAGGACATTCTGCATGCAAACTAAGCCACGAAGCGGGTTTAGGTGAGTGTGCTATGCAGCTGGGTACCACAGCTGGAAACAGGGTCACCAAGTCCCAGCTCAGGACCAATCCTGCCCCCACTGAGTGTGCATGAAATGATCCTGGCACAAAGTCCCCACCCTGAACACATCGTCTCTGCTGCTTGATGTTGCTACAGCAGAGCTGAGTCTCAGCAGCAGAGGCCCTGTGACCTACAGAGCCTAAGCCATTGACCCAGCCGCTGACGGAAGTTTCTCCACCCAAGCTCTAGCCTATACCGTGACTTTCTGAGAGCAGAGTCGTGTCTACCTTGTTCACATCACGTTTCCCAGCAACTATGGCAGTCCCTGGCATGCCGCATGCACCCAACCATATGTATTAATGAATAAATTAAGTGACTGAACGAGTGAATCCCAGAGTGTTTAGAATCTTCTTATTGCCTACGTTCTTTCTGGCAGACAGACAGACAGACAGACAGACAGACAGAGACAGACAGACAGACAGACAGACAGACAGGATTGGCCATGGAGACCAGAATTGGGCCACTCAGAGCTGCAGAGAGAGCAAAGCTCCCAGAGAACGTGGCAAAACCTGAGGCTGTCCAGTGGGCAGAGTGGAGCTGAGCAGACCCCGACCGCTTTACCTGCAGAAACCCAGCACGCTTCTGTTTCGAGAAATTAAGGCTAATTTTAAATGTGCAGAATTAGCAAAGCACCCTGGCAGTTTCCACTAATGAATTCCAATGGTTAATTACACTCAGACTCTTAATGCTTCTCCCTCCAGAACCCACCACGCTGGTCTGACTCTGAGGAAGCAAAGTCACACCTACTGATGTGTTTCTGTAAAAAACAAAAAAGGATGAGAAGAAGCTCTGAGTCGGCTGTTGTTTCTTTGTATTTCCTTATCGAGTCTTCCTGTCCTCACAGATAGCAGGAGCTGAAACGTCCTCTGGACCCACTCAGGTTTCTTCCAGGATGCATGCACGCGGCCAAGTTTTCAAAGCTTGCACCTGAGTGGGGCTTGAGGTTGAGTGACACTCCCTCCTCCCTCCCCCCTCCCCGCACGCCAGTTTCTAAGATAAGGAAAGGAAAGTCTCATCTGTAGGCTCGTCAGTGCACGGAGGATCTGAGGACTGGTCAAGGAAAAGCTTCCTAGATGGGCATGCGCGGGAGGGTCTGTGAGCCCCTGGCGGCCCCTCCCTTAGAGTTTGCTTTCTCCAGGAAGAAGAGACATCATCTGGGTCCACCATTTTGTGGTCCATGTACCCCAGTCACAGCATTGAGTGGAATGGAAAATCGTCACCATGGTTATTAGAGAGCAGCATGAACTGGGGGAGGGGGCGGGGGGAGGGAGCAGAAGACCACAGAAGTGGCTAGAGGTCAGCAACCTGGTGCTCTGAGTCCCGATATGCACCGTTCCCAAGGCAACCGTGTCCCGGGACGTTGTGTAAGTGACATGACGCTGAGCAGCATCTGTGAGTGGCTAGCCCCAAATTGTCCGTGATGGAGGAGGCCCAAAGTGGCAGGACACCTCTTTCCTCCCTGTCTCCTGCCTCAGTGCGCTTCTCTGTTAGAGATCACTGTAAGAAGTGTGTGAGTGTGTGTGTGTGTGTGTGTGTGTGTGTGTGTGTTGGGTATTCCACATCTTTGCACTAGGCACTGGAATCCTTTCTGTGGGTGAGTGGTGTATTGTTGTAGGCTCTTACCACACCGCTGAAAAGCAGGATGTGAGGGGTTGGCCCCTTGTGCGGCTGTAGAATGCATCAGTACATGCAGAGGCAGTTGTGTGTTGGGCATAAGAAAGTCTCTGAGTGCCTAGTATATATCGGGTGCTTACTAAATGGTTAAATATATATATATGTATATATATATATATATTTATATATTGCTAACACATTGTCAAAAGCTAGTTCATGTCAAAAGTGAATTCATCTAGACCATCGTCTTTCCTCACGTGCCAGTGTTACCAGCGTTGTCCGCGGTAAACCCTTCACAGACCCCAGTGTCATCCGGCCTTCACAGCCGCCTCGTGCAGAAGCCCCCCCCCCCGCCCGCCCCACTCTCCTACAGGATAGTCATCCTGGCCATTTCCCTCTTCCTTTAACTTTCCCATGTTCCATTGGGAGCACAAAGGTCCTTGTGCCCATCCCCAAGGAACCCAGGAATGTTAAGCACACCCAGGATTGTCACTTCAGAGGAAGGGCATATACTCTGTTTTTCCAAAGGCTGGGAATTGGAGGTGATTGGCAGCTTGGTGATCTGTGCTATCTGTTGGGTCCGGCCGTATCAAACTCCTACAACCAGGACCAGAGGTAGCTTAGTCATCTAAATGACCCTAACATTACCTGTACTGTCATAGGCTCCCCCAAGCTCCCACAACTAGGACCAGAAAAAGTGGCTAACAGCCCAAATGACCTCTACATGATCCTCATGATCAAGACCAGGCTGGATCCTTCCCTAGGCCCTTAAGCTTATACAGGTAGCGTATCTCTAGAACCCATCTTCTTGGAAGAGACAACATGCACTTTAAGTTTCGTGTAATTATGCCTTGTTCACAAGGAACTGTGTTATGCCAGGAGACATTTTTTACAAATTATGTTGTGTTTAAGTATGCTGGCTATAAATCCCCTGGCATTAGACTCTTGAGAAGTTTAATCCAGCCTGACAGACTAAATCAGGCTGAACTGAGTTTTCATTCTTACCTCTTGGTGGCTTGTCTCCCTGTCTGCCACGACACCTGCAGGGACCTCCACATGTTTTTTTTTCTTCCTATTACTTTTTATTCAACCCTTACTTAAGAAACTTTTTGCTATGTGTTGGTCTTTAAGGATCCATAGATTTATCAATACATATAAAGATTTAGTTGAACACATAGTCAAGTCAGATAGAAAACTGGTTAGTCAGAGTAGCATTCCGAACCTTGCTTTGGTTCAAATGAGCATACTACTGGTTCATGCATTGGAAGCTGTTGTGTGAGAGCCTTCTCCTGGGGAGACACGATACACAGAACACTCAATGAGTTTCTTTTCCTAATTATTTTAAAATTTTTCTCATGCAGTGTAGTTTGATTGTAGCCTTTCCCTTCCTAATCTTACCCCAAGTCTCCCCCATCTTCCTACCCAGCCGATTTCATGTTCTCTCTCTCTCTCTGTCTCTCTGTCTCTGTCTCTCTCTCCTCTCTCTTTCTCTCCTCTCTCTCCTCTCTTTCTCTCCTCTCTCTCTCTCCTCTCTCCTCTCTCCCCTCTCACTCTCTCTCCTCTCTCTCTCTCTCCCCCCTCTCTCTCCCTCTCTCCCTCTCCCTCTCTCAAGTCACTGGAATCTTTCCCAAAGCTCAAAGGCTTTGTGCCTGCCAACCCTTTTGAGTGTCTTCGTAATTGCCTGACTTTGCCTGTTTGCTTTCCTCGAGGAAGTCTTCTAGGGGATCAAATAGCGTCTCCATTCCCTACTCCCCCCCCACCCCGACTTCTCACATGGCAAATCAGAGCAGCTAATCACATGTAAGTTGTTGACGAAATAAACAGTATTCCTTCCAAGCTTGCTTTACCAAAAGGGAATTAAGCGCTGACAGCCTATCAGTTTGGAAGTGAGGATGGCAGGAGGTGCCGCGTGTTAGCACAGATAGGAATTATAGTTTATCAACAATCTGTTGAAAGTCTGATTAATGGCATTTGATATTGAGTGGCAGAAAGTAGCCAATTAAATTTGTGTTTTTAAATGCCCCCAGCAGCTCCTCAGACAATTAGGCTTATTTATATAGACTTGGTTTTGGTGAAATTCCTGGACTATAAATGCAACACACACACACACACACACACACACACACACACACACACACACACACACACACACACCGGGAGTCTCAAAAATGGAGACGTTCACTTCACTGCCTTTGAAGGAAGTCTGTCTAAGCAATCCCTTCTCTAAAGTGCTGGTCATCATGGGGAATTCCACTCTGGTCACTAAGGCATTGCTGGCATGCTGCAGCCATGGTGAACACATAGGAACTTTAATATATCCACCTCACAGCTGATGTGAAACCTTCTGGATGCATATCCCAAGGGAGGGAGGACTTTTCCTTTGAGTTTTGGGTCATATGTTTCCCTGAGTGTCTGGGTACCTTTAGCATCTGGTATCCACGTCACAGGCCGATAACACGTCTGTCCTCAAAGGAATTGTAGAGGAAATTAGCGTTTAGAAATGACCTCCCATTTAGGCAACCCAGAGGAGCCTGAGACCACCAGGGTCGCTATTCATATCATCTGTTTCCCATTTACCCTCTTCTGGGAACAGCCCTGCAGCTGGGTCTGGGACTCTGGTCACATCCAAGGCTGAACTCACAATGCTGTCCTTCCCATCTCCTGGACTCACCCATAGTACCTATTCCCTGTGATGAAACTGGAAGTCATGCTTAAGGCATTTTCACTTCTGGGGTAAGGCCGTCAAACCCACGCGGGAGCCTACCTGCCTTCTAAAGACACCTTGAATAGCCCATGCCGCCCCGTGTCCTTTGCCACCAGCTCATGCAAGGCAAGATTATTTCTCCCTAACGGATGCAGTTTCCTAGGTGATAACACCCTGTCTTCTTTCGCCCCATATTGGAAAACATAGACTCATAGCCTTTCCTCTTTCCAGTGCTTCCTGGCTGAGAAGAGTCTGCGACGGTCAGCAATTGTCTCTCCCAATCCCCATGCCCACTCTGCCCTTCTCGGCTCCCAAAGCTGCAGCTTCTACGCCTTGATGTGGTCAGGGTCTCCTGAACTTCCCTTGCTGGACCTCTGCCGAGGTCACTCTTCTTTCTCCCCCACCCCTCCGGGCGACTTCTCTGACAGCTCCCGTGGTTTCAAGTTATCATCTCACAGCATAGTTTTACGTGAAATCATTCGTCGGGGTTGCAGTGGTACTGGATATTTCTATTCGATGCGTACAGTGCATTGGGTAGCGGTCAGGGGTCAACCGCAAGGGTCTCTCCCTGGCACTTTTCACCCTCCCCCTTTTTTAGACGGTCTTTCACTGAAACTGATGTTTGAGTAACAGGCCCTACTGCCAAGTGAGCCTCTGAAACCCTGATTTCTCTGTAAGCATGTGTATAGTTCTAGTGCTCGAATTATAAGCAGGGGCTGCTCTGCAGGACTGCTAACATGCCCGCAGCCCTGAACTCTGACCCTCACGTTTGCTCAACAAGCACTTTACACAATGAACCCGGCATGCCGATCTGTGAAATACACTGCTTCTTCACTTTCTTTTTCTATTTATGTGAGCTGTTTTGTTTTTGGTTTTGATTTTTTGTTTTGTTTTGTTTTAGTTTTTTTTTCAGCCCATGGTTTCTGTCTGAGAGGCAAAAGTGCCCACTTCCATGTCAGAGGGAAAGTGTGGTTCTACCCTCTACCCTTTATGTCTCCAAACCAGGC